GCGAGGAGATAAGCCAGGCCTCATCCGCTGTGGCCAAGGAGGGGCCTGGGAGGGCAGGCATTGCGGTGACAGAGGCGTGCCCGTGCCAGCAGTTGCCGGGACGGAGATGGGGATGCGCTGTCTGGGACGTGGCTGATTTGCCTTTCCTGTTGCTGAAAGCAGCTCCGTACCCGTTTTCTCTTTGTCATCTTCAGACTTGAGGTCCCCTAGATAAGAGGCTCCATTAGGTCTGTGTGACCCACGTGGGCCTCTGGGGAGCTGGGTGTGATGGAGTCAAGCACGTGCCCACTGTGAGGGGCCTGGGAGGGAGGCCCAGTGGGCCGGGGGCAGGGGCAGGGCTGAGGACCTGCTCGCTGTGCCGTGCCGCCACCCCCATCAGTAGCCGGGATGCAGCTGGGCCCCTCACGACAGCCTGCCTCTGGCAGGTACGACGTGCTCTTCATGCCCCCGTCCTTCCCATTTGGAGGGATGGAGAACCCCTGCCTGACCTTCGTCACCCCCTGCCTGCTGGCGGGGGACCGCTCCTTGGCCGACGTCATCATCCACGAGATCGCCCACAGCTGGTTTGGGAACCTGGTCACCAACGCCAACTGGGGGGAGTTCTGGCTGAACGAAGGCTTCACCATGTACGCCCAGAGGAGGATTTCCACCGTCCTGTTTGGTGAGCCGCCCCCGACGACCTGCCTCCGGTCCTGGGCCCGCAAGGCTCCTTCTGGGGAGTGAAGGGAGGAGGGGGTAGTGCAGGGAGCCTGTGACAGCCAGGGAGGGCAACTCGAGACAAAGTCACACGTAGGTAACTGTGCCCACCTCACTGCACGTCACGCATCAGCAGGGGCTGGGGGCAGAGGGAGTCTCGAAAATGACACACGGCGGGATGAACTAGCAGCGGACGTGCCTCCCGCTGGGGCTGAAGCTTCCCTGCGCTTCGCCCGGGGGAGAGCGGCCCGGGCTGGTCGCCCAGGCACCAGTTCGCTTAATGAGCGAGTCGTCAGATCACTGTCATCATCACCTTGTATCGAACACCTGTTTTGTACCAGATCTGTCACGTACCACCTTCCTAGCAGCTGCATGGAGATACTGTTATTCCCATTTTACATGTGGGTTCACTGCGACTCCGAGAGGATAGGAAATGTCCCTCAGCCACGTAGCAGGTGAGGGCAGACCCTCAAATTGAGCCCAGCTGTGCTTTTCAAACACATTCTCGGGAATTCCCTGACGGTCCAGTGGCTAGGACTCTGCGCTCTCACTGCCGAGGCCATGGGTTCGATCCCTGGTCAGGGAACTAAGATCCCGTAAGCCACGTAGCACAGCCAAAAAATAAAATACATTATCAACACAGTCTCCATGTTGAAAACCCATGGTGTATCAGGTGCTTTTGTTATGTTTATTATTTCTCTGATCAAAATCTATTTTGGCACCTGTGGAAAGGCACGCACAAAAATACTTATCTGTAATCTCACTGTTCAGAGGTAATCGATGGTTATCCTTTCAAACATTTTTCTACGTGTGTGTGTGTGTGTGTGTGTGTGTGTGTGTGTGTGTGTATCATCAGGCTGTACGTGGTTTTAGAACTACTTTTTTTTTTTAATATAATAAAGTTAAACATTTTCCCAAGTCATTAAATTTTCTTCTGCAGCTCCAGAGAATGGAGGCTTCATAATTTATTCAGTCAACCTCCAGTTGTTAGGTTGTTTTCAATTTTCAAACGAAATAATATTCTGACAAACATCTTTACGTAGGTTCACGTGCATCTCAGATGACTTCAGTAAAGATAAATTTCTAGAAACATCATTTCAGGACCTGAACATTTTAAAGGCTTTTTGTTTTGTTTTGTTTGGCATATATTGTCTCCTGCTTCCCAAGTTTACACTTTCATCCAGAGTACGTAAAGCAGTAGTGTACTGGCTGCTCGGACTCCTGCACGCAGCTGTTCGTGTGCACCATGCGTGCGCCTGAGGGCGCTGAGGCTGGCGGGGGCGG